CCCCAGGTCCAAGAGCCTCATGGCTGCCTCAGAACTGACCCAGGGCCACCCTGAAGACCCTCCACAGCCCGGCCACCCCAAGGGCATCGTGTGATGTGGCTCCTGGGTGGCCTCAGGAGAGGTGGTTGGTGGGATGGAGCAAGAGCCTCAGCCTCCAGGAGGGACAGGGAGCAGGTGGCAGAACCCCCTGGGATTGCACATGCAGGTTCCAGGCTCTGAAGAGGTTCAGGGTCATTCATTCATGATCTTCCCTCCCTTGTCACAAAACCATTGAGAGTTGGGCACACACTGGGCCCTGTGCTGTTGGATGGTCTTGTGGGGAGTGAGAAAGTCCTGTCCTTTATGCTCCAGAGTGAGCGACACCCAACACACCAGGAAACACATGACCTCAAGTCCACTAAAGGAGCTTGTGGACTAGCTTATGAAGGGGAGTCCTGGACATTTTGTTGAGGAAGGGGATTTGGATCTAGAATAAAAGTTGATTATTCTCAATTTACTCTCACTCCCAGACCACAGTGTCCCCTCCAGGCTCCCAGTGCCCAGGACTAAACTACCTGAGCCAATGACTGGTCTCTGGTCCACAGATGCCTAATTGGCCCTCAGCATGCAGAGCATAGGGCTCTGGCTACAGAGTGACATGCACCACTGACCTCCCACCCATGGTCTGTATGACCTGATTCAGCACCTATGTTCCTGTGTCTCAGTTTCCCTTTATTGGATACCTGGGAAGTGGTGTCTGGTACACCATGTTGTCTATAAATTAACCTTGAAATACTCACAGTAACCTGACCTTGGTTTAGAGGAGCTGCCTCAAAGAAAAAGCCCCTACTCTTCTCTGCCTCCCAGTGAGAGAGCCCTGGGCTGGTCCCGGGAGGACCAGGAGCTCCAGGAACATCTCTTTCCTCTGTTCCTCCCCTTGGGTACATGGACCTTCCTGTGGAGCCTCATCAAAGTCCATCAGTGCACCTGATTGGCCTGAGGCACCTGTCCCTCTGTGCTTGCCACACCTAGTCCTAGGAGAAGGAGATGCCCAGGTGCCCTTGCCCAGATGTGGCTCCTGGGACTCTGCCCTGGCTGGTGACCACTTCCAGGAGCTACCAGATCAGGTAGCCAGTAAATCATTGCTCCCCAGCAGCCCTCAACAGGAAGCCAAACTCCAGCCCTGGCCACATGTCCTCAGGGTAACCTGGAGCCAGGACCCTGGGACAGAGGTCTAGAGCACGAGCATCCTGGGCTGACCTTCTCTGTGAGGACTCCAGGGCCCTCAGGCCAGGCCTGACTCAGTCCTGCAGGGTCTTTCTCAGGACCATGTTCCTTGGAAGGACACAGGTGCTGGGCTGAGACTGCTCTGCCTGGGCCGAGTCTCCCACCAGACCACCCTGCTCTCTGCCCATGGATTCAGGCAGAGGACTCGGATCTTCTGAAGTCTGTCTGCACTGCGTGTGTCCTGCACTAAATGCTCCAACTCCACTGTGGGGACGTAATGCACAGGAGGAGGGAGGCATCCAGGTCTAAGGGTCCTGTGTGTCCAGTGGAGTTGACCCCTCCAACACCCAGAGGGCTGGGCATCACTCACCATGTACGCGGAACTCTCCAGTTGCTGCTTCAATTTGAAAATTGGGAGTTGTGGTTTGCAGGGTGTAGAATCCTGTGTCCCCCTTTGTCACATTCACAAACAGCAGGGACCCATTGGGGTAGATTGTCTCTCGACTACTGAATGCAGGACCTTGGGTAGCTGAGTGTGTGAGATTCGAGTAGGATAGAATGAGAAGGTTTTGGTTTGTTATTTGCCCTCTGTACCAGGCGGAGGCTACAGCGTTCTCCGACATATTGTGGACAAGTAGAAGAACGTCTCTCCCTTCAGCAACGTCGGAAGGCACTGGTTCAACAGTGAGCTGGGCAGTGGGGTGCGGGTTCCAGAAGGTTAACAGTGAGACTAGGAGGGAAGAGAGAGAAATCCATCAATACTGGGC